AATCCACATTGGAGAGAAGCCCTATACTTGTAATGAATGTAAGAAAGCCTAAACTGTGAGGGCACATCTGATTATACATCAGAGAATCCACAATGGAAAAAAGCCCTATGACTGCAGAGAATGTGGCAAAGCATTTAGTGTTAGTTCAGACCTTATTAAATATCAGAGAATCCATAGTAGTGAGAAACCATATGAATGTGATGAGTGTGGGAAATTTTTCAGTCTGAGCTCAGCCTTCATCAACATCAGAGAATCCACACAGAAGAGAAGCCATATGAGTGTAAGAAGTGTGAGAAAGCTTTCTATGTGAACTCAACTCTTATTAATCACCAGAGAATTCACTCTGGAGAAAAGCTTTATGAATGTGGAGAGTGTGGAAAAGCCTTCAGTCAGATCTCAACCCTTATTCATCACCAGAGAATCTATACTGGAGAAAAACCATATGAGTGTGATGAATGTGGGAAAACTTTCTGTGGGAACTTCAGTCTTAACTAAGCACCAGAAAATACACACCAAAGTTAAGTGTCATCAGTGATGTATGTGGTGAAGATATTCCAGAGGCCTTTTGTTGCATCATAAGTTACCATCAAAAGAAGAATATGATAAAAAGTTAATGCATTAATTTTCATTTTACCTTTTGGAATATTGAAGAAATGAAAAGTCACCGAAAGTGACTCCAGCAGCATAATATCTAAGACTGAAAAATCACATCTACTCTGACATTTACAACCGTAAGGTAAAGCCATTTAAAAATTTTATTGTAAGCCACGTGCAGTTGCTCATGCCTGTAATCCCAGTAGCTCTGAGGCAGGAGGATTGTGAGTTCAAAGCCTGCCTTAGCAACTGAGTGAGACCCTGCTAAATAAAATATAAAAAGGGTTGGGGATGTGGTTCAGTGGTTAAGCACCCCTAAGTTCAGTCCCCAGTACCAAAAAATAAATAAAAATCATATTCCATAGAGAAAGGGGGGAGGATCAGAGAGGAAGAGGGGTTGGGAAAGGTGAAGTGCTGGGGATTGCAATAGAGCAAATTATGTTATTTGCATTATAAACATGTCAAAATGAACTCACTATTATGTAAAACTGTAACATGAATAAAAAGAGGAAATCATATTCCATAAATTAGTAAGAATGAACTTTAGTAATTCAAATAATATATTTGTTTCTCTATGCACAAGTCTTTTGTTATTTTATTGCTGTGAGTCTTATAGATGAAACATTAGTTTTAAATTAGAAGCAGTGTTGGTTGATGAGAGAGGGAACATGTATACTTATTGAATCTGAAAATACCAACCTGCTTTCTTGGTAGTGAGATGATCCCCACATCTTACCCTGGTTAGCACATTTCCATAGGCACGAATGGAATATTATGAAAGCTAGCACTTTCTTCTGTTGAACTTCTTGCTAATGGCTCTCAGAAGGGTTAAAGACTTGACTAGTACTTTATCATTTTAGCCTGTTTTACATAATCACTCCCAACTCCTAGCAGCTCAGCCCTCTACAGATCAGATCAGCTCTTTTTTTTTTTTTTCACAAATGATATTTTATTATAGAAAAAGCATCCCAAATATAGGATTTCGTAAACACTGGTAGGTGAACAAGTGCAACTTGAGAAGTAAATACAAAGTAAAGAGGCAAAACCTACAAGCATTTTGCCATTAGGAGAAAGTGTGATTCTCCCCAGAGGTGATCCCTTCCAGAACACAAACGTGGCTCCATCTCCCATGAAAGCATCAGATTTGCTTCGAGCTCACTCTGCCCATTTTAAGTTTCAAAGTGATGGCAAGAAGTGGCATTGAATGTGTTACTTACAAATACTTGATTTTCAAGGACTCCACATCACACTTTATGACAGTTTGAGTTAAAGCCGGTGCTCTGAATATTTGTTTTGATGACAGACACTTTGTTACACTATTTGAAAATAGATCTCTCTCCCCCTGGGCCTAATCCACAGTATTTTCATAGACCTGAATTCATTAGATATCATGCTGTCCTCTTGAGATTTAATTTTAAATAATTCTAGCCACTGGATACTGTGCTATAAATCCAGCTACTTGTCTTCCTTACCCTTTTTGCTGTCACTCCTTCAACACTTTTCTTCTATTTTGGAGAAACCAAGAACTCCTCTAACACATTTTAACATCAGCTCTTGGCTCCCTCTCCAGCTCCTCAGTGGCTCTTTCTCACCAGCTACACAAGGTATGATGCAGACACGAACCCAGGAGTCTAAACTCAGACCCAGGTTCACCTTGGCTTGCTGAGATGCTCTGAAACTGTGGGTCAAACCATTTTGCTTATGAAAATCTTTCTGTATAAACAGCCTGGCTTACTTATTTAGGCACTTAGAAAAGACACCAAACCCAACTTCCACCTTTTCTATTAGGGAGAAACACCTCTTACCTGACTGGCCAGTAACTGACTCAAGGGGATGATGGCAACCCAGCCTTTGTTCCCAAGAGGACTGAGAAGTCCTGCCGTTGCGGAATGTCCCAACCCTGGGACAGGCACAGCTAAGGGGAGCCACCAAATGACAATGATGCTGTGGTCTAAGTTGGAGTTGGGAGGGATGCAGGAAAAAACCTCCCCCTTTACCAGCAGGGATCTGTGGTTCCAGTTTTTCCCTTAGTGACCACCACCTGGTGACACTAACAGATTAATCCTCGCAGATTTCCACTTCCTCAACCCCACTGGTTGGGGCCAAATGCATGTTAACCTGCAATTCTGGGAGTGGAGCGATCTGCCTCTCAAAAGCTTGAGGGAATGAACAACACAGAGCAAAGTACCAAGTACATGTTGTACTCTGATCACCTTTTTCACCTAAGCATGAACTAATTAGGTGTTAGCTGGGGCGTGTTTACACTCAAATAACAACACAAGAACTGTAACAGGAGAAGTTACATCACAAATACACAAATGTCAGAAAATTCATATCTGCTTTGTAATGGCATGTAAATCTGCTGGGAAGCACCCTTCAACACTTCCCTGAGATGCTCAGCTGCTAGTGGATGTGAATGTGGTGCCAGTAAGGTGACTTCAAATATGAGCCAATTAGTTTCACAGAAACACTAATTCCTGGCTACAAAGAACCCTAACCCTTCCCTTATCCCTGACCATTCGTCTTACAAAAATAGACACCAATGGTTATCAGAACTCCAGGTGAGGGACAGCTCAGTTTAACCCCTCACTACTGCTTTTTCCAAGTGAGAAACAGCACTCATTCCCCCATGAAGCTGGTTGCCTCAGAACATTCTTGTTCTTCAATCCTGGAGACAGGGGAGCTCAACACCCGACTTGGTGTGTGGAGGACTGTGACTTGGGTAGTCAAATGGAATTGAGGAGCCTGCTCTATAGAGCTGCATGGGAATGGAATTTAAGAAAACAAGTCATGTTCTTACCTTAAACAACTTGAAGGAACCTGCCTGTGCAAAATAAGTGATGGGTAAATGCCCAGGGCGGGAAATGGAAAGTCAACTTCTAACAGAAAATGGAAGATAATTCCCAAACACTTCCAGCTGGTGCTGGACTCTTGAATTCAGCCCTGCTGTTACTAGCCACAGGGTGCCAGAGGCAGGTGGGGGCTGGGGAGAGCAATCTGCATTGTCAACCACCATCCACTGTTAATAGAGCTGAGAAATCCAACAAAGCAGCCAGGCCTGACTTGCCTTCCACTGGGAACATTAGTATCGTTTTCTTACCCAGTGTGTGAGCAACTAACGGGCTATTTCAGAAACTGAATTTTACTGATACACCAAAATTCCATGGGACAAGAACAAATTTGGAAAATCCTGCACGTGAGTTTTCCCACCTGCTTTATCACAAATGCCTTCTCTCTGGAGCTCTTATAAATCTTTCTATTATGATACTGAGCACTGCCGGGAGAAGAGGCACACGCCTATAATCCCAGTGACCTGGGAGGCTGAGGCAGGAGGACTCCAAATTCATGGCCAGCTTCGGCAATTCAGTGAGACCTTGTCTCAAAGTAAAACTTAAAAAGAAAGGACTAGAGATACAGCTTAGTGGTGGAGGGCCTCTGAGTTCAGTCCCCAGTATCACACACACACACACACACACACACACACACACACACACACACAAGATACCGAGCACTTAGAGAAATTTCTGGCCTCATCATGAAGGCCTTTAAGCCATAGCTCAGGTTCCCCTGGCATACCCAGAGCAAAGGGCTGCCCTACGGCACCAAGACCTGTGACTTCACATAGAATCCGCTCCAGGATAATCTGACTGGCCTGATTTGGAGACGAGCTTCTACTTGATTTTTGAGTTTCATTCCAAATGAATTATCCATTTATCTAGGTTCATAAATGCTGAAGCTAAAAAGGCTTCTCATACCCCTGTCATTATTATTCTTTCTGCCAAAGAACCTGTCTTGTGTGGCTTTGGATTGTTCATTGCATTAGTAAGACAAAAAAATTAACTTTAGCTCTTAAGAATTTCTTTTAGACATTCTGAGTGAGCCTAGCTTTCCTAGTTGCAATCTGGGTATAGAGGGCCCCAGGAATGGCATTTCATTAACCTCTAGTGAGCATCTCACTAGTGCCCATATTTACAAGATAAGAGATTGTCTCATTTTAGGTTTGGTCCCTTTGCTGCTAAGCAATTTACCTAATATAAAACAAAACAAAAACCACAGAGCACAAAGGACGAGGACTTCTTTGCTTAATATGAGGCAACAGGTCTTGTCTTCCTTTCCTGCTTTTGCAGTTGTGCAGAAACTCAGTGAACAGCACCAGACCAAAATTTTTCAAGTTACCAGGGCTGCTGCAAAACTGGTAGCCTAATTACCAAAGCGTGCTTCTTCATTCCTTGCCAGAAGCACAGACTTACTGCAGAGGACACGTTAATTATGGGGGAAAGGAAATAATGGGGGAGAAGTATGTCTCCTACTCAGGATGAGACAGATGACGGGGAGGACAGGGAGGCCTAGCTGAGGGCATTACAGACAGAGAAGAGCTCTGGTGAGGGGTGGGCTCACAGCAGACCCTAATCTTGAAAGTCATTAGAAGCCATCTGAGAAAGTGGGGCATTTAGCCCGTCAAGTTCATCCACTTGGGGTGGGTGGTGCATTAATATCTCCTGGTCCTCCAAGACATCCTCCCCAGCAGCTACCAGATTAGTGAGAGATTTGCTTCGAACACACTGGAAATCCACATGACTCTTTCCTTCTTCCTTTTCCCAGGACATCTGTATAAAGGGGCGCTGCACATAATTACAGATAACTTCAGACCGACCACCAGGTCTTCTCTTAATTTTTTCTTTACAGGTAGGGTACCCTTCAATCCCAATGTGAATGTTTTTCAGGCCCCGTTCCTTCAACACTGTCTTAGCAACATCTCGATTCTCAATATATTTGAAGAATCTGTAGAGCTTGGAGCTATAAAGAATTTGGGAATATTCTTCCCCCATGGGTGGGGGGTGGTCCTCATCCCAGTCCACAGAATCTTCATCAGTCAGCACAACAATGTGGCACTCCCGCTCCCCTTTCTTGGCACAGCCCACCATGATGGGCAGAATCAATTCTTCGAGGTAGTGATCAAACTGCTTGTGAGCACCATCATTAGACAGTTCATGCAGCAAAGCACTCAGATCTTGACATCGAATAGTGTTGAAATCAAAGTTAATACAGAGATAATCGCATGTATCTCTAAGGTCTGGAATAGAGATGCCATCAGGACAATTGATGATACCAGTTTTATAAAAATCCAGTACTGCGTGAAATACAGTTGCACTGATTCCTTCAGCAATCTCATACTCTCCCTTCTCATTGGGCCGAGTGAAGTTGTACTCTCTTCCTGGTCCAAACATCCTTCCCAACATGGTATCCGGATGAGCAGTGAAAATTTGTGGATTCACAACAAAACGTGTGCCATCTACAAGAAGGGTCACTTTCTCCTGGTGCCTGGGAATAAGGGTTACTGCCAAAGCCCATACTGCTGTTTCCAAATCTTTCTGGAGCAATAAAGGGTTCATGGTTCCGTTTATTGCCACTTTGGAAGCAAGAGCCTTTAATGTCTTCGGGAAGCGGCAGTATGTGAGGAAAAGGAAGATTTGCTGGCTGAGAGGCATAATCAAGTGAAAGGTCTTCATTCCTGGGACCTAGGGGATAAGTAAGATTGTGAAGACCAGGTGAAGCCAGGCTATTTGTTTCTTTTTCCTGAGCTGCATCTGGACGCTGGCCTCTGGACGCAACAACCTGTCGCCGTCACACCACGATGAACATTCATTCTCAGACCCTGTATCCTCAACTGTCTGCTTAATCAGAGAGGAATCTCGTCGCTCCCCGCCGCGCTCCCACGCTCGGGGCCGGAATCCGCCCGGGAGGCGCGCACAGGCCGCGCCTCCACCAGCTGCCGCCAGGACCCGCAGTGCCGCAGCGGCGCGCGCCCCCCGCCCTCCAGATCAGCTCTTAATACTAGCTTCTCTCCTGTTTCAGAAGTATTGCAACTGTTCTTGGTCCTTTGCATTTACATATAACTTTTAAAATGAACTGTCAAGTTCTACCCAATCCTAAAAAATATAAGGAGTAGTTTATTAGGATCATAAAGAATCTACCTAGAAGAATCAATATTTTTACATGTCTTTCAATGCATGAAAATGGTTTCATTTCTTTTAGAGTCTTATTTAATTTTTCTCAACAGTATTTTATTGTTTTCCATATAGAGGTCTTCTATAACTTTGTTGGATTTATTCCTAGGCATTTGGTTCTTTTCCCATGTAATTGTTAGTGGAATCATTTTTTAAATTCTTTATATTTACTTATCTAGTATTCTAATATTTTATATTTAGAAACTCTTGGGGTTTTATATGGCACTTGCAAATAATGACAGTAATTACTTTCCATCCAATCTTGATACTTTTTTCCCTTCCTTTATTATATGAGAATAACTTCTAGTACTATAATAAAAAGAAGTGATAGATGGCATCCTTGTCTGAAAGGCATGCTGTTACCTCAGCTATAGATTCCTCTTGGCAGTATCCCATCTTAACATTAGCTTTCTCCCATACCTCTAACATTTTTGAGACTTAGAGATTCCAAATCTATGCTAATCATTCACTTCCTGGGCTACACATTCAGTGGAGGAGAAATAGTTTCTGAGAGCTACTAGTTTCTTATGCTTAAAATAAATCATTTTCCTATCTGTTACACTCAGTTCCTATGCCCTTCTAGTGGATCTGTTTTTAGTAAGATACAGTCAGTTCTTATTATTTGGGGTAGTGGTATTCTATAAAGTTTCTGTAAACACTGAATTAATGAACATCAAACTATTGTTCCTAAAGGAATACAAGGTTAGAATCCTGTGACTCTCTATTTACATTTTCACTAATCAAAATGTCATTTGTATTGTACATGTCTGTTTGCCAGCATCCTTGTAAAATTACCATAAGTTTTGGAAAACAGCTCTTCATTGTAACCCTTTTCCTATATAACACTAAACAGGTATTTTAAAAAATCTCCCACTGCTGCCTAATCTGCAGAACCTGCCTCACCTGCAAATCTGATATTTTCCACACTATTGATGGGTGTACCTGCCAGCCCTAATGGAGAAGGTCTTAATATTTTTTTCCTGACCCTTATTAGAAGAACCATGAATTTCCTTGGCTTTTTCAAATAAGGTCTACACCCTCAAATCAATGCTACCCATTATTATTTCTTTAAAGATGTTAAAGAAATAAGAAAGTTGTTAGCTTATGAATTCACAAATTTAACCACTTTTTCATAGCTTTGTCACACACTATACATATTACTTGCACTTTCTAGGCCTGATATGCAGAGTGACAAATTTGCTCTGCCCTTTTCTGGATATACCAAGTTGTTAATTCACTAATATTGTATTCATACCACATAACTACAACTTATATATGAATAAAGATTATCTAACACACACATTTTCTCTGCAAGACATGTTACTGTCTTGCACATAGGAACACTAGACAGCACTTAGGCCCTATACTTGGGGATCAATTTAAAGCACAGTATTACTCACCCCAAAACTAATACCATGTATTAGTTTTGCCTCAAAAAGACACTTATTTATAGTATGAGAGTTAAAACAAGAAGGCAGAGTATTGCCTTGTTAAATATCTTCAGATGGTATTTTAGTTCCCTAGGGATATTGTTAAAAATTGCCACAAATTTTTATGACCTAACGATAGAAATTTATTGTTACACTTTTCTGAAGGTCCAAAATCAGAATGTAAGCAGGGCTGTATTCCCTCTGAAAATTCTAGGGGAAATACTTTCTGGCTTATTTCTGCTTCCAAAAATTCCCTGTATTGTCACGACATTGCCCAAGCTTCAGCCTTTGTCTTCACACTGGCCTTTGCTTCCTCTCTGTCTTCTTTTATAAGGCCCCTTGTCAGTAGCTGAATAATGCAGGGATGATCTCAAGGTCAGGTCATAAATTAATCTGTTTTGAGATTATATATTTAATATATTTAATATAATTTAATATATTTAATTATCTGTGAACACCCTTTTTTCAAATAAGGTCACATTTGTAACTTCTAGGGGTTTAAACATGAACATAATTTTTTGGAGGAACACCATGCAATTTACTACAGATGGTGAATTTCTCTCCTTTCAGAGATTAGTTGATTAAGATAATTGAGGACATCACCATCCCTGTTTTAGACTGACCGCAGCTCATTCAGCCATAGAACAGGTAATTTCAGGCTGCCATTCGCCTGCAGCTTGCAGACAGATTACTCAGGCTCAGTGCTAAATAACCCGTGGAAACTGCTTCTTGGAGCCTGCTCTTATCAGATCATACACCGAGCATGGAGCGGCCGAGTTCTGGCTCCCAGAACTGCTCTGGCCCAGGGCTAAGGAGACCACGGAAACTGCTTCTTGGAGCCTGCTCTTATCAGAGCATACACCGAGCATGGAGCGGCCGAGTTCTTGCTCCCGGAACTGCTCTGGCCCAGGGCTAAGGAGCCCACGGAAACTGCTTCTCGGTCCAGGTCCTGCTGAGTACTGTGGAGGTAAATACCAACCGAGCCTTCGTGGGCAGTGGCAACAGGACTGAGACGGGGCCTGTGAGGGCCAGTCAGGACTCACCCATTGCTTTGGTTACCCAGCAAAGGGAACGAAATGATGCCATTCACATAGGATACCAACATGGCAGAGATCTGATGTCATCAGAAAGCGGCGGAGGAGAGAACTTCATCAATACCAGCGGCAACAGAAACAGTTGGTCTCCTGGTAGGGAGGGTGAGTCACAGACATCCGAGTCTCTCTCACTTTGCCGTGGAGCCAGAGGGGAGGAGCCGGGCCGCCGCCCGCGCCCAGAGCAGGCCCAGCGGCTTGTCGGCGTGGTGGTCGCATGACCCCAATTGAGGGGGCGAGGGGGCGGAGCGGAGCCTCCACCCGCGCCCGCAAGGTGGGCAGACATGCGACCAACCTGCAGATCAGGCCCAGTGGTCTGTGGGCGTGGTAGGAGGGGCAGGGCAGAGCCGCCGCCCGCACCTGCAAGGTAGGCAGACCTGCGACAGACCGGCGGATCAGGCCCAGCAGCCTGCCGGCGTGGTACACACGTCACCCCAATTGGAGTAGGGGCAGAGCAGAGCCGCCGCCCGTGCCCGGAACAGGCCCAGCGGTCCGCGGGTGTGGCAGACAAGTCACACCAATTGGAGGGGGACAGAGCAGAGCTGCCGCCCGCGCCTGCAGGGTAGGCAGACCTGCAACCGACCGGCGGAACAGGCCCAGTGACCTGCCGGCGTGGTAGTCACGACACCCCAATTGGAGTAAGGGCAGAGCAGAGCCACCTCCCGCACCCGGAATAAGCCCAGCGACCCGCCAGCGTGGTAGACACGTCACCCCAATTGGAGTTAGGGCAGAGCAGAGCCGCCGCCCGTGCCTGCAAGGTAGGCAGACCTGCGACCGACTGGCAGAACAGGCCCAGGGGTCCGCGGGTGTGGTAGACACCTCACACCAATTGGAGGAGGGGCAGAGCAGACCCGCCGCCCACGCCTGCAAGGTAGGCAGACCGCCGCCTGACGCTGCAAGGGAGACTTTTCAACTATACAAGAGCAATATAAATATATAGGGGAAAAAACATTTCAAAAACACAACAGTTTCACCAAGCAGAAAGAAACGCAAGCAGTATGAAAAGACAAGGAAAGAAAGGACCACAAGCAATGCAGGTCAACTCAACTTTAGAAGAGGTAATAGCTGCAGCTGATGGAATGTCAGATAAAGAATTCAGGATATACATGCTTCAGATGATCTGGAGTCTCAAGGAAGACATCAGACAGCAAAATCAGACAATGAAAGATCACTTCAACAATGAATTACATAAACAAATCCAAGAAGCAAAAGATCAACTATACAGGGAAATAGAGGTTATAAAAAACAAACAAACAGAAATCCTATAAATGCAGGAAGCAATAAACCAACTTAAAAACTCAATGTAGAATACTACCAGCAGAGTAGAACACTTAGAAGACAGAACATCAGACAATGAAGATAAAGTATTTCAACTTGAAAAGAACATAGACAGCTCAACAAGACTGTTAAGAAACCATGAGCAGAACATTCAAGAAATATGGGATAACATTAAGAGACCAAACTTAAGAGTCATTGGGATACAGGAAGGTACAGAACTCCAAACCAAAGGAATGAGCAATCTATTCAATGAAATAATACGAGAAAACTTCCCAGACTTGAAGAATGAGACAGAATCCCAAATCCTAGAAGCCTACAGGACGCCGAATGTGCAAAATCATAAGAGATCCACACCTAGACACATTATAATGAAGATGCCCAACATACAGAATAAGGAGAGAATTTTAAAAGCTACAAGAGAAAGGAAGCAGATTACATTTAGGGGTAAGCCAATCAGGATAACAGCTGATCTTTCAACACAGACTCTGAAAGCTAGAAGATCCTGGAATAACATATTTCAAACACTGAAAGAAAATGGGTTCCAACCAAGAATTGTGTATCCAGCGAAATTAAGCTTCAGGATGGAAGATGAAATTAAAACCTTCCACGATAAACAAAAGTTAAAAGAATTTGCAACTAGAAAACCATCTCTTCAAAACATCCTCAGCAAAACATTACAGGAAGAGGAAATGGAAAATAACAATGAAAACCAACAGTGGGAAGTAGGACAGTAAAGGGGGGGAAAATAATCAAAGAGGAAAACAAACCATGTTTAGTAACAGAAATAAACAAATATGGCTGGAACAACAACCCATATCTCAATAATAACCCTAAATGTTA